GGTGATCTGTCCCATAGATTATGCAGCACACTGTATCAGAAGTGTGTTTTTCAAAAGTTCTGAGGAAACTCTCTGGAGTCATGGAGGTGTGGTGAACCCCTCCAACTATTGCCTTGAGATAATCTTAACCTTTAAATCTTAAAGCAATTCTGTCCTCTGAATCATCATTGAAATCAATAAAAGGAAAAGAAATAGTTAATGTTTATAATTAAAGAAAGTCTATCTTGAGAATGTGCTCTTGTAAAGAACAATTGTGTGAAATCAGACTGCTAATGGCAACTTGATTGGTTAGTTCAGAAGCTTAGGGGCACTGAGTTTAAGTCAAGAATGGTGGAACAATGGGGAGGACAAGCACAGGATTTGCACAAGGGGGAGGATATAATCAGAATCATAGCGTTGTGCATGTAGAGCTTGTTAAGTGCTGTCTGATTGTGGACATCTTCACCAAAGAAATTCTGATGATTCCATTGCATCCTGAAGCTGTTCTTCCTCCAAGCTTTCTGTGTTGGCGTCCCTGTCCTACCTGGCTTCATTGTGTGGATCACAATCATTTGCTTCAGGTAGTTCTTTATTTCCTATGTTCCTAACCCAGTGTTTGTTGCGTAAACTCCAAAAATCAGTGTTTGACATGTAAATACAAACAGATGTGAAATACTTCCTTTGTAATCCCTTCTCCCCAATGAACTCGGGTGCTTTTAATATTCACTCATTTTAAGAAATCTTTCTTCACCCAGTCTGGGATTTTAGGTCTGAACCTACTGATGCTTTAGGAACAGCATGCACATAAGCGGAGTTCCAAAAGCTATAAACACATCATTTTCTGTGCACTAACATCTCAATCAAACCTCTCAATATCTCCTCTTGGTTGGGACAATCATGCCTTCTAGATTTTGCAGACTCTGAATCAAAATACCTCAATACAGCGAGTCCCACTATTTTTTTTCCTTTTAGCTCCCTAGTGCATAACCAATTTGTGTTATTGCTAGACTGTAGCCTACTGAGAATGCGATGCCACTAGGAACAGGTTAGAATGTGGTGCGACTTACAGCAATGTGGCACAGAGACACACGGGGAGCACACACTATTGGAAAACCTTGTTGTTGGACCTGATCAATGCAGACTTGCCACAAAGCTTCAATTTTGAAAAAATGCAGAATATCTGTGTAGTATAATAAATGGAAGCCTATATAGGAATTGAAGTGTATCTCTTTTATTTCTAAAATGCATTTATTTTTTGGCCTTGTGCAGGTTGAACTTCCAAAATTATGGTTACGTTCTGATATTTCTTTTTGCCATCGAGGAGATTAACAGGAGTCCCCTCGTGCTCCCCAACATTTCCCTGGGTTTCCGGCTCTACAATGCCTTTCCTAGTGTTTTCAGAACTCTCGAGAGTGTCCTCGGATGGCTGTCAGAAAGGGAGCCCCCCATCCCTAATTACAACTGCCAGACACACACCAAGAACATGGCAGTCATTGCAGGAATCCCCTCTGAGTTCTTGGAGCAAGCTGGGGCACTGCTGGAGCTCTACAGGACGCCACAGGTACGGGCACCGGAAGTGGACCTTTCCTTCCTCAGTTTGGTTCTCCTGCCACTTAAGTGGAAGAGAAGAAGGATGTAGGTACTGTCCATTGTTTCTAAATGGTCAAAAACTGGGACAGGAACAAATCTGCCAGAGACTGCTGTTGCTTCTGGACCAAGCCAAAGTGCCTTCTAGAAATTCTGTTGCTCAGATCCTCTCAGACCTGCAAACTCGCTCTCTGGAACAGACCAAATGGCATAAACAGGCAAATGGAATAATTCATTCACTGATCTCTTCGCTAAGTTATTTATCTCATCTTTCACTTAAAGTAGTTTTATCTAACCATATGCTGTGGTGTACGAGAATTGCCTTATTTACTTAGTGCTGTTGTAACAAATACTGCAAAAAGATGGTTTAAAAAAATGGGTTTTTATTTCTAGACGCTAGAATCTGAATCCAGGGCACTGAATCTAGAGTGAGGTTATCGCTCTGTCAACTCTGGGGGGTAATACTTGTGTCTCTTCAGTTTTTGTTACTTGATTTCTTGGCTATCATCACATGGGATCATTACCCCACATTTGTTTTTATGCATCTCTGTGCTTGTCTTTACAACACTGAGAAGTGACAGGTTTAGGACCAGGCTTACAGATTTGGGCTAATTGACATAACACACAACCTGATTTCTAAGAGGGATTGGGTCCACAGGTGTCAATGTCAGGAGAACCACACATATTATGAGAGAATACAATTTTAACCTTAGCACACTTTGAAATTCTCTTCATTTACTAACACACTCAGTCCCAATAATAAGGAAATGACAAAGTGTGATGATTAGGTTAGCTATTAGAAATGTGCAAACTCTGATGCACAGTAGTTATTGAACTTGTCTCAGGTCATTCAGCTAAACACAATACAGTCAGAATCTAAACCCAGTACATCTGAGTATTGCTTCATACGCACAGGGTTCTCTTCAGCAGTGTAAGGGTGGAAAAAGGAGCCCTGTGCATGCAGCTGTTAAGAGCTAAGCTGCTACCTGAAAGGTCAGCAGTTTCACCTCACTAGCTGCTCCCTGGGAGAAAGACATTGTTGTCTGTTCCCGTAAAGATCCAGCCTAGAAAACCCTGTGGGGCAGTCCTGCTCTGTGTTACTCTGAGTCTAGAATCACTCCCCCACTCACACACCACCTATGGAGTCCCTGACACTCTGTTTCCAGTGGTCACAGTGATGAAAAGTCAGTGGAGCGCAGCTTTGCTTCGTACACATGGAATCACTATGAGTCAGCATCATGTTTAACTACAGTTCTGTTTTTAACTTTGCTTCTGAGAACTCACATGGACTATTTCTCTCTTTTGATTCAGATCTCCTACGGCACTTTTGATCCTTTGTTGAAAAGTAAGGACCAGTTTTCCTCTCTCTATCAAATTTCCCTCAATCACAATTGTCTGGCCTCGGGCCTGGTCTCCTTACTGGTCCATTTTGGATGGACGTGGGTTGGTATCTTAGTGCCAGATGATACACAAGGTGAACAGTTCATTTGGGACCTTAGAAAAGAGATGACCATCAAAGGTGTCTGTGTGGCATTCATAGAAAAAGTTCCTGTGACCAAGAGAATATACAGCCCAGGAGATGCGACCTACCTCCCCAGAGTCCTGGACTCATCTGCAAATGTAGTCACCATTTATGGTGAGATCAATACATTACTAACTATGACTTTTATTGATGACTATAATCTTATGCCCCACAAGATATGGATCATTACATCACAGTGGAATTTTTCTTTGATACCAACGCTTTATTTATTTAATATTTTCCATGGGACTCTTTTCTTTTCACACCAGAACTCTGAGATACCTGGTTTCAAAGACTTTCTCAGGACAGTGAATCCTTCCAAGTACCCAGAAGACTTTTTCCTGACCAAATACTGGCTCTCCGCTTTTAATTGCTCACTTGCAGGAACTGTATGTGGGGAAATTCATGAGTGCCCATCCAATGCCTCCTTGGAGTCAGTGACTGAGCATAAAATAGACACGACCCTAATGAAATCCACCAATGATCTCTATAATGCTGTCCACCTGGTGGCCCATGCCCTGCATGACATGATGTTAATGGGTGAGGAACCTAGGGACAAGATGGAAGCAGAACACCCTGTGATTCTCCCTTGGCAGGTAAAACGTCCTTTGCAAGTGGTTCATATGAAGGGCTTTTCAGTAGCTGTGATTTAGTTTGTTGAGTTAACATTTTATGACTCGACCTTGGTGGCACAGTGGTTACCATTGGACTGTGAACCACATGGTCAGCAGTTTGAAACCACTAGCATGAAAAAGACTGAGCTTTTTCCTCCTGTAAACCATACAGTTGTTGTGATTTAGCATTGACATGATGGCTGTGAGTTTGAATTTGGGAATCTTTGCAATCTTCAAGAATAAGGATGATTAATATTTCTTAATTTCAAATCATGCAAATCATTTCAAATCATATTAAAGCCTGGGTGCTTCAAATCCAGAAGTCCCTCCATAGAAGAATGCAAAGGTATATGTTCTTATACAGATTTACGAACTCTGAAACCTATGTAGGATTGCTATAAATTGAATAGGAACCCTGAGGCACAGAGGGTTATGTGTTTCCCTGCTAAATACAAGGTCAACAATAGAAACCACTATGTTCTCTGATGGAGAAAGATCAGCTTTAGATTTCTGTAACCAGTTATGGCCCCAAGAATTCATAGGGGCAGTTCTGTGCTGATCTCTAGGGTCATTATGAGTCAGATTTGGCTTGACAACAGTGAATTTTCTAAGAATGCACTCAAATCACTGGCTGGCAGTGAGTTTCTTTTCTGGTGGGTCTGAGAAAGTCTGTTAGTACAATAATCCACAGAGAGGTGAATGGGATGGAAGCCAACAAACATGATACCAGATACATCTCAAACTCACTACCATCGAGTCAATGCTGGATCAAGTGCCCTCTGTGGGTTTATGAAACTCTAAATGTTTATGGAATTAGAAAGTCCAGCCAATGTCCCTCAGAGCTGCTGGTGGTTTTGAACTGCTGACCATGTGGATAACAGCCTGAGGCTTAACCATCACAGCACCCGAGGACCATAATAGACATCTGGACCAACGGAATTAAAACTCCAAGATGGAATCCATACATCTACAGTCATCAGTTTATTGACAAGATATTGTTGAGTCTCCCTGCGTTTAATGAATCTCTTTAGGAGCCCTCAGAAAACCAATGTTTGGGATTGATGCTCTTAATTCCTAATAGAGTCACCAGAAGTGAAATTTTCTGGAAAGGTATAGAAATTACTCCTGAGGCACAGGTAACACAAATTATTTGATTTTCTCTATATTATTAGCCTAAGTTATGGTGATCCAACTTATTCTGCCTCACGATGGAAAGAACAGCAACAACATAAAACCCAACAGTCTGGCAAATATGAAACAAGAAAACCAGATGTAGCAGGTCAATTCACTTAACAAATAGTGTTGTTGTGAGTCACAATTGCTTAATTGTTGTGGGTTGAAGTTTTTATTTATCTGGGGTAGGGTAGAGTGCTCTTCCTTGAACACACGAAACAGTCCGTGATCATCCTGAGATGATACCTGTTCAGAAAGGGACAGAGACACACAGATGAGGAAAACCAGTGTCACTGCTTAGCAACTACACATATCTTTAGTTCACACCTGAGTTTTTTGTCTCTAATGTCCATGTTCATCTCCTTTCTTAATGATTTCTCTCCTTTAGCTCCACCCCTTCTTAAAAAGCACACATCTGGAAAACAGTGCTGGAGAACATGTCTCCCTGAATGAGAACAGAAACTGTGTGTCACGATATGAGATTATGAACTTTCTGAATTTTCCTGGTGGTCTTCGCCTTCCCATGAAAGTCGGAGAGTTCATCCCCCAGGATCCACGTGGACAAGGTTTGATGATCCAGGAGGAGCTGATAGAATGGGCTTTCGGATTCACCGAGGTTTGGATGAATTCTTCATTTGTATCTCAAAGCAGAAACAAGACACGAGAATAATTCTGTGGCCAGTTAACTTATGATAAAATCTGTATTGATTAACAGGGTCTACTTTTTTGTCTGCCATCTAAGGGATATGAGGGGACATTTTGCTTTAAGGCCACCCCATGTGTTACAGTGTAGAATTTCTCCCTAGGGTTTCTAGGCTGTGATGTTAACAGAGGCAGGTGGTCAAACTTTCTTCTTTGCTATCAGTGGTTGTGTTAGTATTGAGTGCATGTGCCACCACTTGTCAGAATAAAATTGAGGGATATATATATATATATATGATATTTAGAATATATACTAAAAATAATGTAGAAATGTTTTATATATCACACCAACACAGTGAGACTAATGATTCAGCAATATGAACCAATTTAAAAATCCAATCTACCTATTTTCCAGAGAAGTTGAGATAGTATTCATCACTTTTGGTTGAGATTATTGTTTCACAGCCATGACCACCAACCCCAATTATAAAAAAAACCAACAAAAAACCTCAAACCCACTGTTGTTCAGTTAATTCTCAGTCATGTCTATTCTTCTGAATCCCATGGAGTTTCTTTGGGTCTATTCTTTACAGAAGTAGATCTACTGCTTTCTGGGGTGATTCTAGGTGGCTTCAGACAGTCCACCTTTCTGTTAGTAGTTGATTAAAAATACTTTGTGTCCCCTGGGTCTTGTGGTTGTTGACAGGTACCGTTGAGTCGGTTCCAACCCATAGCAACCACATGTACAATGGAATGAAACATTGATCTCTCAGACCTGCTCCACCCTCACAATTGTTTCTATGCTTGAGCCCATTGTGGTAGGGCCTACGTGGACTTAACTAGTACAGGACATATTCTGGTGACCTCAAATCATGATATCATGCATGAAAAAAATCAATTCAAATTTCCTCATTTCCTTTTCTCTTGGAAATTGAAATTTTAATCTTTTAAACTTGCATCCCAAGGATGGATCATGATTTTGCTTGTCCTCACTGTATGCACTCAGCTGGGTCAAAGTTTGGAAAGTATCTCAAACATAAGTTTGTATATATTATAAGTCTGGTGGTGTAATAGTTAACATTTTGGATGCTAACTGAATGGGTGGTGATAGGAACCTACATTGTCTCCAACAGAGGAAGCCTTGTTGATATGCTTCCTTAAAGAATACAGACTTGGATCCTGATGAGGCTGTTCTGCTGTGTGCTATAGCAATAGTATCATTGTGATTCAGGATCAATTGGGCCCTTAGGCATCAGGATCATTAAATAAAAACAAAACATTTTTATACACTATGATCACATTTGAAGGTAATATGATTGTTTCATACAAGACTCTGAACTATTATCATTGATTTCCTTCTTACAGATTCCTCACTCTAGGTGTAGCAATAGCTGTGACCCAGGATTCAT